TGGGAGGCCGAGGCGGGTGGATCACGACGTCAACAGATTGAGACCATCCTGGTCAACATGGTGAAACCCCGTCTCTACTAAAAATACAAAAAATTAGCTGGGCACGGTGGCGCGTGCCTGTAATCCCAGCTACTTGGGAGGCTGAGGCAGGAGAATTGCCTGAACCCAGGAGGTGGAAGTTGCGGTGAGCCGAGATCGCGCCATTGCACTCCAGCCTGGGTAACAAGAGCGAAACTCCGTCTCAAAAAAAAAAAAAAAAAAAAAAAAGTAGCATGTGTTTCTCCTCCCCTTGCATCTTAGCTGCACTATGGCTGGCTTTGACTACAGAATGTAGCAGAGATGTCCCTAGGACATAAAAGAGGTCTTATAGTTTCTATTTTTACTCTCTTAGAAGCCAGTCATCCTGTTAAAAAGCCTGGACTCTGCAGAATAATGAAACCACATGCAAGAGGGTGTCCTGGTGATGTAGACAAAAGGTTATTTGGACAACAGCTAGTACCAAGGTCTGGGACATGTGAATGCGGCTATGTTGGATGCTCAGACAAGTTGGTCTGCAGCAAACACCATGTGGAGCAGAAAAGGTCAATCCCTAGCAGCCCCTGCCTGAATCATGAACAACTCAATAGTTGTTGTTTCAAGCCAGTGGGGTTTGGGCTGGCTTTTACACAGGAATAGAGAACTACAACATTTATTACAGTACTTATCATTAAATACTATAATTGCTTGTCTTTCTTTCTCACTTGGACTGTGAGCTATTTATAAATGGAGGGAGATTATTTTCGTCTTAATGACTGCAGCACCTAACACACAAGAATGCTTTACAAATGATGAACCCGTGAAAAAATGGGGATTTGTCGAGGAGTTCATGGAGAAGCCTTGTCACCCTGGGGATTGTTTTAAGGAAATAGGAGCCAAGAAACGAAGACATTAGAAAATGAATACCAAAGACAAGAGTAAACTGAAGATTCAGAGCAGTTGAAAGAGATTTCCAAAACTTTTAGTTTATGAATTCTCCGTGGTGAGAATATTGACCCCATTTAAATCAGGGGGTAGCCTAAGTGAGCCCTACAGACACTGATACTTAACATAGCTGTCAAGCAGCTGCCACTGTTCACAATTAAACTACCAATCAGTCATGGCCCTCATTCCCTAGAAGAAGTTTATATCACAGCAGAAGAGTAGCTGTACCAGGATGTTGCAGGCTTCAAGAAGATATAGAAAGGTGGGGAGAACAGAAGCTCAGCTTAAATGGTTCTAAAACTGGAAATAGTTTCCATAATGTGGATGAATCCTTTCTCTTCTTCCAGTATCTGCTGAGCACCACCTCAGGCGCAGCACTGCCTCTCATTGTCTGTGATGAAGCCTAAATGAATTGAGAGAAGTTTCTCTAAAGTCATATGACCTGTAGTGCCTCACAGATTCCTGGTGTGCGTCATGACCTTTCTTATGCCCTTTGCTAGCAACGGCTACATTCATCTCCAGAGTTCCTTTCCTGTCTTTGTTCTGTCTACCATTATAACGTCTCAAGGTTCAATTTGAGTCTTCCCTGCTCTGAGAAGCTGTCACTGACTACCCCAACCTGTGATTTCCTAGAATGTACTGAGAAAGGAACTGGCTTTGGAACAACGTGGATTTGGGTTCAAATCCTGGTCATGCTGATTAATTCTGCAGAAGTTCCCTAGTGATTTATCTTTCCTAATCTGTATAATGGACAGGATACTACCACTTCATGGGGCTGCTGTGAAGGTACAGGAGACGTCTACATAAAGTGCTTAGTCCTTCCTGATACATGGCAGAATGTTGATATTCATTATTATTTTTGCTCTTTTCCAACTTCTAGTACTAATATCTATACCACTCATTTGTCCTCAAGTGATGTCTTCTTGATGACAGCTCTTGTCCTTGCACTAGCATTTCTTTGATGTTCTTATTTTAATGTTGATATAAGCTTTCTCCTAACAGATAAATTATAAACTTCTTATTTATCTTTATGTGTCTTAAGAATAACAGATGCTTAATCAATATTGGTGGAAAAAAAAGCAACAACCTGTTGGGGCTCATTATCTATACCTGGTAATGTGACAACATTCAGGTCAAGACCTCAATAAACCTTGAATTAGAGTAACTCTAATCCCCACACATTTTTGTTTCCAGGAAAGGAACGATTAGGGACAACTTTCCAATTTTTTTTGCGTTCTTCAGGTTTAGTTTACTAGAAGAAAATGCAGACCCCGTCCTCTTAAGAAACTATTTCTGGGAAAATGCAATAGAGACACGAGGTCTACCTTCCTTGGATTTGTTTTTTCTAATAAAAGTTTATGGCCAGCTCAGAAATACTTGCTGGGAATTAAAAAGCAATAATGTGGATAATAGTTGCAAGTAATTATATAGAATGAAGTAGGGAATAGGAAATTCCTATTCATAAGAAAAAATTTTAATTCAATAAAAATTATAAGAAATATCAAGTTTATAGATGAAGACATTAAGCGCCCATCTGTCTGTAGTGTAGATATGCTCATGAGGAGGGAGAACAAATCCTCTGGTTCAATAGTGTTCTGTCAGAAGTAAAAGGGAGGAGGCCATGTTAGGAATAAACAAGCAAATGGACTTAATCAGTGATGAAAACTGATTTTTTTTTTCATCCTCCAGGCATGTGAAGTTTAAAGAAAAAAAAAAAAAGGGAAAAAGAGTCAATCTCCATAAATGCTCCAGAAAGGAAATCTAGAAGGTTTCTAGAATGGAAAGACTCTGGTCCTTGCCAGCCTTGAGACTCATGCTGGAGCAGGGATGGCAGACTACATTGGACCAGAGGGAAGCAGGACTCCTGAGCACTGCCTAACAGTGATTTTCATATTGTTTGTTATGCCAGGGAACACTTTGTCAACAGAATCTTGAAGGGTCCCCTGATATAAAAGAGATAACCATGTCGCTGTGTGGTTGCAAGTAAGTGGGAAGAGAAAGGGTGTGAGGATCTTTGGAGGGGCTGCTAGGATCTTAGATGCTGCACCAGAGGACTTTAAATCAGGCAGAACGTGTCTGGGAGACCAGCAGCCTAGGATTCTGTAAGACTTTGCTGACTGCTTCTATCAATAGGCGAGGCTTTTAGTCCAGACCTAGTGTTTTAAAGGGCCCCAAGGATCAAAACTAGTGGCCAAGGAACATGAGCGCAAAGACAACTTTATTGCCATCCTGGAGGAGAAAATAAGCTCTTGTTGCCCTATTATACTAGGATCTCAGCCAAGTTTTTTGTTTTTTTGAATAATATTTTTTTAAGCCATAATTGAGGTTCATAATGAAGGCCAATTGTAGCTTAGTGACACCTAAGTATGTCTGAGCCAACAGGCTCTGGATGGCCCTTCAGAAAAGCAACAGCAGCTCTGATATTTTCAACCACTTTTAGGGAAGCCACAGCGTCCAAGGATAGTTACAGTCTTGCAGCTGCACTTCATAGTGAACCTTTAGAATCCAGGGTTTTATCGTTACTCAGGAGTGGTTGTAACTGTCTAAGCTTCTAATCTCATACCTACAATATGATTATTAAACCAAGATAAAATAAATAAAAGGAAGAAAACTTATGAAGGCATCTCTTCCCAGACATCCCTCAGGGTTAGAATAATCAAAAGGATGAGTAGATGAATAGCCTGTGAGTTACAGGCATTTCAGAGGCAAGGACCATTTTGTATAGTGACCTGAATTGACAATTGGTGAGGCATAAGGGGCAGATATTACTGCAATTTCCTTCACACAACTGACAAGAGTTACGCGCTTTCTTTTCACATTGCTCCAGGTTTCAGATCCTCAGCTGGGACAGGCCAATTCTGAGTTCTGAGGTTTCTGATAGACACTTCCCAGGGTTGGACAATGCCTTTTGTTAAGAGGGGAATGCTTTTGGGGACCACAGCCTGTTTACACACAACTCAGGCTCCAGAGCTTCTTTAGCCTCTTCCAATTGCACACATGAATGTAATTCACTGAGTGGAGGACTGGCCCCAGCCAGACCCACCTGTTCTGTGATCTTAGAACAATCTGCCTTTCCTCCGGGTGGATACCAGCTCTCTGAATGATCGAATGATAGAAGATTGCATGGGGCTCCCAGTGCCACTTCTCTTTCCCAACAGGAGGCTACCTGTTTGACTACTTGGGCTTGCTCCTGAGGCAGATGAGCTCACCACTGCTGCTCAGAGCAGAGTGACATGGGGTGTCCTGTGGGCAGTGGGGAATTGCCTTACAGAGGGAACCTAGCAGACCCAGGCTATCTCTTAAAATAAGCCGATGACTTTGAGTTCCTCCTGCCCAGTATACTCTGCAAACATCCTGCTGCAACAGGAGCAAAAAAAAAAAAAAAAAGTGTCAAGTTGGAAAATATTTACAAGTCTGTTTCAAAGATGCTGCTCTGTTTTCTGAGTGCGGTGTGTCACAATGAGCCATGCTTTCTGAAGTGTTTTGGAAAAGACTGTCTGTGACATCACATTTCGAAGAACTACTGTGGCCTCAAATCAAGTAGGGAGCTATAACAATGCTCCATGAAACCCAACAATAACCTGCCTTTCCAACAGAGATGCACTTCTCACGGACCTGGGAAGAATGCCGTCTCCACCACATAATGTCAGCAAAATGTGCTTTCACTTCCTCTTTTTCTTCTGAAGCATGATGATGGTAGCAGGTCTCTTGGACCAAATTATATGTAGAGTTGGAGCCATCATAATGCTTCCCTCCCCACAAAATGCTTGAGACAAAAGTCTAGTATGTACATTTTTATTTTAGGGAGTCTAAAGCTGTGTCTCTGTGTAATCTCTTTTGCATACAGAAGAAATTTTCTCCTTAATCCACATCTAAACTTTTTGGTAGCCAAGCACTTTCTATTAGCAGAATCAACAGACAGAACACCTAAAAACACTTCATAAGTGGAACTTTAAATTAGGAGAGCCCCAAATATCTTCACAAAGAAATACTGAAACGTTCAAGTCATTCAGAGAAGATTGGGGGAGAGTGATTCTTACCTGGGCTTCTTTCACTATCCCATTCTTTGTGCAGTTTCTGCGTTGTGAGCCATTGCTCTGTTTCTTGTGGTTGTGAAGTTTCCCATTGCAAACAGTACCACCTCCAGGGTTAGCCATGGGTGTGAAGTGACAGAGCTCGGGGCAGGTTTTCCTTCAGAGGTCTCTGCAAGCTTTAGTTTTCAGTCTGTGAGGGGATGGGATAAAGCTGTTTGGGGCTGAGTCCTTAAAGGAATCTTACCAATCAGGCTTTTCCAGAAGAAGAGCAACAGGCTAACTTTTTGCCAGATCGTTGAAACTGAAACAAATGGTTACCTTTATACTTCTCAACTCCAGTCAAAATGTGAAATCCATGGCAATAAAACTGCTTCCAAAGCTAGAAAGGAGATTGTCCATGCTGGCTCCTTCTGGGGACTGAGTGAACCTGGGGACTGAACAACTCAGTGGCAAAGTGTGAGGAGGCGGGCTGGGAGGTGGAGAGTCTTTTAAAGACACACGCACACAGCACACTCAACAGAGTCTTCTAAGTACACCGAGTTCTGAGTTAACCTCTTTTTCCCAGCCCCTCCCTCCTGCATGTAGTTGTTTTTGGTTGTAAACCAAGCTCAAAAGTTAATATTTCTTTTTGCTATAAAATAACATTCAGAGGTGGTTGCCAGGGGCTGGAGGGATGAGAGAAAGGGAAGTTATTGTTTAATGGGTGCAGAGATTCAGCTGGAGCAGATGAACAAGTTACAATGATGAATCACTGCACAGCAGTGTGAATGTACTTGATGCCACTAAACTGTATACTTAAAAATGATTAAAATGATAAGTTTCATGTGACGTATATGTTTCCATAATTTAAAAATGAGTTAAAATGATATTTAAAATGAGTTAAAAGATTTTTAAAACCCAACATTCAAAACCCACCTATATTAAAATCAGTACTATAATAAGGGGGTACCAACCCATCAAGAATTCCAGAAAGACAGAAACTGGGGAGACAATATTTGGTGACTGCATTATCTTTGTCTCGTGACCTTGGGGGAGGCATTTACCCACTGTATGCCTCAGTTTTTCCACCTATAAAATATCTGCTGAGTTGCAACAAAAATCATGATGTAGCTTGGTTTCTTACCAATGCAGGTGTGAGGTGGGTGGTGACTGCAGGGTCCCAGTCCTGAAACGCAGTAACTTACTCTCTCGATGCGTGAATCTTCAAAGCTCTGTCACTTCCTATCATCATCAAATGGCATGGTAACGTGATTCGTTGGAGAGTCATTACGACCTGTTGAATCTCCGAAGCCTACCCTTGTGGTTTTCCTGAGTCAAGACTTCTATAGCATCAGACTCTAAGAAACTGATTTATTGGTGCAACAGAGAAAAACAGACAAACACATACACAAAAATGAAAAGACAGGAATGGCCCCTGTTGCCAGAACCTCATGTCCTGTACCTCAGCTCCCTTGTACCGGGTTCAGTTCAACTTCAGGATGATGTGGCTGTTGGAGGTGGACTTGCTCACGCTTCTCCTGACCATGACTTGCATGCAAGGGGACCCACCTTTCCCATTTCAAGGAATGCTGCAGGAATAAGATAAGGCCTGAGGCCAGAGGAAGAGGTGGAGTTAATACGAAGTGTGTCCAGCCCAGTTGTGTCTCGAGTTCAAAAATTTTATCACGTTTCTCCCAACCTTTATCATCAAAGTAGAAATAGATTTTCACTGGTCCCTCTCTTCCATAGCTGTTCCACTGGGATTTGGGGGCTAAACTCTTGCAGGTTTCTTTTCTTCTAAAATTTAGGAAATGGAGAGATGAAAAGGTAGAGGGGAGCACTATTGTTGGCCCTACTGCCTCACATTACTTAGAAAGACAAGTTGAAGAGAGGGCGTCATTTTCACTGAGCTCTATTGCCCTGTGCAAGCATTTTTTTTTACATAAAGATTTTGAAATAAAACTAACTTTTTAACATTGTTTCTTTACTTTCTTCTTTTCTTCTTCTCCATCTCTTTCCTCTTTTCATATTTTTCCATTTCCCTTTCCTCCTTCATGCTCTTCTTCTTTTTTAAATTTTCTTTTTACAGGGACAAAGGCATATATAAAAAAATCTCAAAACACAGCTGAATTCTGCTACCCCTTTTCCTTCCCCTAATTCTAATTTGTAAGGTTAGATAATCACATATAGATTTCCGAGAAATATCTACTATATGCTCTCACTTTTGAAACTTTTCTACTTTATTTACCATATTGGAATATGTGCATTGTGTGCACACAATAATATATATGTGTTTTTTTTTGAGACGGAGTTTCGCTCTTGTTACCCAGGCTGGAGTGCAATGGCGCCGTCTCGGCTCACCACAACCCCGCCTCCTGGGTTCAAGCAATTCTCCTGCCTCAGCCTCCTGAGTAGCTGGGACTACAGGTACACGCCACCATGCCCAGCTAATTTTTTGTATTGTTAGTAGAGACGGGGTTTCACCATGTTGACCAGGATGGTCTTGATCTCTTGACCTCGTGATCCACCCGCCTCGGCCTCCCAAAGTGCTGGGATTACAGGTGTGAGCCACCATGCCCAGCCTGCACACAATGGTATGAACGCACCAACCATTTGGCATCGGGTACTGCTGGTATATATATAATCAGTGGTGATTCATTGCTTCATACCATCTCCAGTTAAAATAAGTGAGGAGTTCTGTTTAGGTTTAAGGTTTGGATCAATACTAAAACACAGACTAAATATTGAGCACGATTTGGCATCTCTGAACAACTAACTGCATTTTGGATCAACTAATAATCTCAACAAGATTATTAGTTTGAATAAGTACTATGCATTTGCTAAGTCCTGGATATCATAAGGAATAAAACATACATCGTCTCCACCTTCATAGAGCTAAGACTTAACAGCACCCATGTGCCCTTCTACTTAGGATATCTTATTATTAAGGTAAAAATAAATCTTCCCATTAGTACATTAAAGGCGAAGATAAAATTAGCAATGGCCTTGTAGTGTTCTCCAAGGTAACGGTTTTGCCCAGATGCCAGATTCTCAGCTCCTCTCTTGATGAAGCAGCTGAAAAGGGAGATAATAGAATGGGGACAGGCAAGAAAGGGAAGGTCGGAGGCTTGGCAATGTGTTGTGAAGAAGCTCTTGGAACAACTTGGGGATAGAAGTTGGCAAAAAAAGGGAAGATATGAACAGAATGAACTCTCAGAATTGTACAGTGCAGAAATCTGTTCATTCTCAGTGGCTCAATCTTCACTCATGTAATGGAGAGTGATGTTCACGTGAAACTAAATTTTCAACAGGTTAAGTGACTTACCCAAAGCCACAGAATAATATGTGGTAGAAGTGGGTCACGAACTCTCAGAATGTCTGGGTTTAAGTAAATGCTCTTTCCCTTATACCATGACTCCTCTCCTTAAGCTGTTGACTTGAGAACCATCAACCTCCAAGAAAAGAAATAATGGAATCTGTTATTTTGGAGATTTCATTGGATTGACCAAATAATGAGTAAAAATGCTTTTATTTGCCTTTTTGATCTATTAAAAATTCGCAATATATTAAATAGGTACAAATAACTAATGAGATATCACTGTCTACTAAGGAGCCTACATGGAAGCACTTAAATTTCCCAAAGAGTTCAGTATGGAAAAAATCTCATTGTAGAGACAATTCATTTCCAAAGATTTTCTCATGAAGAGATTGTAAACATGATGACCTAGGAAGGCCAGCTATGTGTGACCTAATATTAAATTTGAACTGACCAAAAAGTCATGAAAATTATCTGAGAAAACTCAGAAAGTTATCATGCCAGTTTGTCTGATATCAGGTGGAAATAATAACTCTTAAGATCAAGTTAATTTTCACATTTTTGAGTTTTGCTCACTGTTGAGATTGGAAAAGTCATGCATAGTACATATTTAACTTCACATATCTTTGCCCTGAAATAGATTATACTGACACAGTCAGTCCCTCATTCATATCCTTTTGGCTTAGCCTGGAGAGATCCCTGATACATGGTGTCAGCTGTTTTCTGTGTCTCTATGCCCAAGCAGGTTCTCTGACCATCGGGGGTCTCTGCTTGTTCAGTACGGGCCAGGTGTGCTGAGAAATTCACATCCTTGGGAGCAACTCCCATCCTACAAGGGACAGAAGTTGATGGATAGATAGCCCGTGTTATTTTCTTCTTTCTGGGACAATTCTGAGGCATGCTCACAGCCTGTGCAGAGTTCTCAGTGGGACTGTGGCTCTGTTGCCCTCAGTAGTAACCCTCTTATAAAAACACCCTTTATTAAGTTTTTCTCCCTTCCTTGTTTGACTTACCCATGCTTCCTGAAAACACCTCCCAATAAACTACTTGGACCTAAATCCTTGTCTCAGAGTCTGTTTGTGGGAACCTATATTCGGGCAACCAAGTCCTAATTAGCCCATAAGATCTCATTGATCAGAGATCAAATTGGATCTTTTGAATGAGCAATATTAAACTGTTTCAAAAATCAAGAGAGATATATAGAAAAACTTGATACATTCATTTGGGTAAAACCTCAAATTCTGGAGAGAGATAGAAAATCTGTACTCTTGTGTCTCCCATAGGAAAGATTTGTGGGACTTATATAACAAGAGGGTATCTACAATTTAGTTGAGGAAGAAAAGTCATTAACTTTGAGTTATAATATAAAAGCACTACATATTTTGAATGAGAAGCTCTAGGAAGTCTTTTAGAATATGCTTTATCTGTAGAAAAATTAAAACTAGCTTATTCTTAATGCTTTGATAAAGAACCCTTTTGTGTTATTAGCTAGCAAGGGATGGTAAATGGAAATTAAATGCTTAGCATTTTTATTCATTTTCCGTTGCAACTGTAAGAAACTGTCACAAACTTAGTGGCTGAAACAATAAAAATGTAGCATCTTAGAGTTCTGCAGGTCAGGAGTCTGACGTGGATCTCACTAGGCTAATATCAAGGTGTCAGCAGTATTGCAGTCCTCTCCGAAGGCTGTAGGGGAGAATATCTTTCCTTGACTTTTCTAGATGCTACAGGTACCCACATTCCTTTATTAATGCCCGCTTCCTCCATCTTCAAACCAGCAATACTAAATCTCTGTGACTTTTCTTCCATCATACACCTCTGTATGTGTACGGGACTATGACCAGAAAATGTTCTCTGCTTTTAAGAAATCATATGATAGATTGTGACCATCTTGATAATCCAGGATAATCTCAGAATAACTTGAATTACATCTCTAAAGTTCCTTTCAAAAGTAATTAGTGTTATGCAGCATGATGGGTTTTGATACATCTATACATTGTGGAATGGCCAAATCACTCTAATTAACATATGCATTACCTATCCATAATTATTTTTTTTGTGGTGTGAACACTTAAAATTCACCCTTTCAGCAATTTTCAAGCAATATATTCAATAGAATATATTGTTATGAATTATATTCACCATGTTGTATGATAGATATCTTGAACCTGTTCCTC